GAGTTGGAACCAACCCATAGCTCTAGCAAGTTTTCAGAGTCAGTTAATCGCTTGGGAGGAGATTGCCCATCCTTCTCCCGTGGAGCACCTGGTGGATTTGAACTGCATGCCTTCGGGATTGCAGCACAGCTTCTTGCCACTAGGTCACCATATATTTAATTCTATATACCTACACACACACACACACATACACATACACATACACATACACACATACATGTATGTGCACGCACGCGTGGAAGAGCCCCGGTGGTGTAACGGTTAAGTGCTTGGAACCACTGAAAAAATGTGACTTCTGTAAAGATCACATGCATGGGAACATTGTAGGCTCAATGAGTTAGAATCAACCTGATTGACACTAAAAAAGAATAAAAACGTGTTTGAAATTTATCTTAAACAGATCCTACCTGACATGACCCCACATCTCAACATGATTTTTTTTTCTTCCCCTGAAATAAACTTTCTTGAGGGAACTCAAGACATTATGCTTGATGTTAAGGGGCTGGTTTTAGCTGGAGGATCTTCTTGTTTCTTCAGCAGTGGTTTTGAAACTTTATTTCTTGGGGTTTATTAAACGAAAAATTCCTGGGCTTCATCTTGAGCTGGAGAGTCTCACTCCTTAGGTTTTAGATGGGCACAAAGTTTCATATATTAGGAAGAATCTCATGTGATTCTGAGGCAAGCATTTGGGGGCCACATGCAGAGACCCTAAAAGCTATGACAATGTAAGTCATGAGCCTCATCCATTAAACAGCAATTCCTGAAACTTGTTGCTGTCACCCTCAGACTGGGTTCGGCTTTCTATCCAGATTAATTCTTAGAAAAGCCGCTTAACCTAAAGGTGACCTGAGTTTGGAGATCATTGAGGCTGTAGATACTTTAAGCGGTAAATGTCAAGCTTGAGGAAGGAGTTGGGTCAGTGCTGTTGGTACCAATTTGGAGATGATAAAGCAATGAAGAATGAGGCCTTTGGTGAGGAGGGGAGCAGTGTACCTTTGTAGAGTGGAATTAAAATGAGAAGAAGAGGAAAACGCTATTCTGTGGATAAAAGAGGAGGACAGGAGAGGAAAGAACTTTTAGGATTTGTAGTTAGGAAATCAGTGTCTAGCTACACTCCAGATTCGAGAACAATGAAACCTTTCTAACATTCTGGAAACTGAAACAGTCTCACATCTTTTGCATTGATGTTTCCCTGAGTCAAGCCAAGAAACAAAAGGCCCACTGTTCTTGTAAACCCTAAGGATTCGGTAAGTCTTGGTGGTTTTGAAAAGACTCGAGAGGTCAGAGAGGGCCTGTAGAATGTTGGGAGCGAGCTGGGACTTGTGGTTCTCAGTCACCAGCAGCCAGCTTGAACAGTTTGCCCTCAGAAAGATTAACCACATAGACTTAGGGGTCCCTTTCATTAAGCGAGCATCTGCCTGTTTTGCAGATTTCTTTAAAGAGTTAAAATCAATCTGAAAAGAGCATTCATTAGGGAAAATAGACTCTGGGTCTTTATTTGGAATTTTATTGGAACTCAATTTACACTTACTCCACAAATATTACTGAGAGTCTACTGTGTGCTTGACTTTGAAGTTATAGAAAGATAGAAATAAGGAAATACCAAATCAAACATATTTTGGTAGTTGGAGGTGGTCTCTCTGAGGCCTTTATCATTTGACACCCAAAATCCTGTTGGATTTTCAGTTATGAATGAGTTCAGATTCAATGAGAGAGAAGAGAGAAAGAGAGAGACAGACACAGAGAGAGAGAAAAGAGGAGAGGCAAAGGCAGAGGCAGAGGCAGAGACAGAGAGAGAATGAATAGCCATTAAGGAGGGAAGGAACCAGAGACAGGGACTGAAATGGGCCAGATCACATAGAACCTTAAAGGCTGCTATGTAACATTAGTTCAAAAGCTACTCACTTAAAACAATAAACATTTATTAACCTCACAAATTGTGTATCAGGAATTGAGGAACAGCTTCACTGGGTAGTTCTGTCTTGGGGTGTCTCACAAAGTTTAGTTAAGGTGTTGACCAGAGTTGTGGTCATCTGAAGGTTTGACTGGACATGGGGATTCACTTCCAAAGTGGCCCACTCTAGTGATTTATTGAGAGTTCTAGTTATTAGGGTCTTAAAAACTTGGGAAACTGTTAGCTTCTCCCTGTCTGGAACAAAAAAGGTGGAAGAAACACAAAGATTTAGGGGGGAAAATTCCAAAAATCTAATGCACAATGCAAACTTCTTTTTCCACAACTCTAAGATCAGAAGAACTAGAATGGTGCTTGTCTACTACTGTTGGCTATGCTAAAAGGGATCACAGGAGAAGCCCAAGAGATAATGGGTGAAAATATTGAGCAAAACTCAATATTATAAAAATGATCAGGTTTACTGCTCTGATAGAGTGGGGTAGACTATCTTCCAGTCTATAGCCCTTCATCATCCTTTGGACCTTGAGCAAAAATCACCAACTACGTGGAAAATGAAGATGTTTCTTGAGAAAGGGAGACGTGGATAAACATCCAAATGTATCTGTTTCAGTCATTCTGTCAGTTATCAATCTACCATTTCATCCCATACAGACAGACTTTTTTGCAAGTGTCACTGTCATCAATTCGTCTTCCTCACTGCATGAGAACTGGCTAACAGATATTTCCAGCCTCATTTCTGTCACCAAGTATGTATTTTCCAACTATTAGTCCTCCTTTGTTTCCAATTTTTTCATTGCAGTCACCAATTATTATTGATGCATCTTGATTTCATGTTCAGTCATCTTTAGAAAGCAAATGTTTAAAAAAAGCCTTATTTATCTTTGACTTTAGTGGTTGCTGTGTATATTTGAACAATTGTTTTATTAGGTCTTCCTGGTATGCGAATGGATAGTATGCTATCACTCTCTGTATTGTTCTTGAGGATAGATCTTGAAATGTTCTTTTTGGCTATGAATATAGGTTGAAATCCTAGGTATTAGTGAGCTGAGATGGACTGGTATTGAACATTTTGAATCAGATGATCATATGATCTATTATGCCAAGAATGACAAATTGAGGGAGAATGTTGTTGCATTAATAGTAAAAAAAGAACAAAGATCTTAATAGGGTTATTGAATTGGTTCCCACAGCAACCTACCAGTGAAAGGCAGGAGCTTTCATTAAATAATTGCTGCTTCAGAAATGAAACAATCAAAGACTAAGATGCTGTAATTGTGGCTGTTTTCAGTCAGGGACTTCTATTCTTCTAGGATGTAAATCAGAAGAGAGGGCAGTTTCACTGGCTATACCCAGAGTTCCAGGAAGATGATTCAACAAAGCACAGGCAAGAGATTTTAGGGGTCAGTTTGCCTTTCCTGAATCCTTCCTGTAAAGTATGTGGTTATTTTAAGAAAGAGAAAAATATTATTTTAAAAGTCCTTATTATTATTGAAAAGATATACATATAGCAGTCCAACAATAGGTTAGGTGCATGTACGGTTCAGTGAGTTGATTATGGGTTTCTTCTAGCCATGCATTCATTACTCACTCTTCCAAATTATTTAGTCTTTTGAGTTAGTCTTGTTAATTTTGTCCCATATAGATAGTTATTAAGAGAGTTCCGCTTTTCGCCATCTTTCCAGTGCCGCCACAATGGTGCGCATGAACGTCCTGGCCGACGCTCTCAAGAGCATCAACAATGCCGAGAAGAGAGGCAAGCGCCAGGTTCTCATCAGGCCGTGCTCCAAAGTCATCGTGCAGTTCCTGACCGTGATGATGAAGCATGGCTACATTGGCGAATTTGAAATCATTGATGATCACAGAGCGGGGAAAATTGTTGTCAACCTCACAGGCAGGTTAAACAAGTGTGGCGTTATCAGCCCCAGATTTGATGTGCAGCTCAAAGATCTAGAAAAGTGGCAGAATAATCTGCTCCCGTCCCGTCAGTTTGGTTTCATTGTATTGACAACCTCAGCTGGCATCATGGATCACGAGGAAGCAAGACGAAAACACACAGGAGGAAAAATCCTGGGATTCTTTTTCTAGAGATGTAATAAACAGTGCAAATAAAAAAAAAAAAAAAAGAGAGAGTTCCAAGGCAGGATTTCTTTATTAATCAAGCTAACCTATTATTTGGTTAAAAGATTTCGGTGATATTTTTTGTTTAAGGCTCAAAGATTATTTAAGAGCAATAATTTTAGAAATTCATCATCTCTGGAAAAGATAGCACGTGGACAAGGATGAGATACTATCATAAAAGTAAACTTTCCTCAGATGTGTAGTGGGCATCTATGTTGGAGGAGGAAGAGAAGAAAAAGAAAAATGTCTAGAGAGCAGAAACTGTCTCAATGAAATGCCAGAGGAAGCCCCCAGAGCAGAAGGCAAATAAAGATCCCATCCTCACAGTGCCTTTGGAGCCACACCAACAGCAAGAGGTTCAATTTTTGGTTTTGACTCACAGTTGATACTGTGAATGGGGTTTACTATTATGGAGAGTGGGAGAGACAAAGAATATCAGCCAAAACAAGTTAAGATTTTAGTATAAGTTCCAAGGCACAAGTCCTCAATTAGTCCAGGCTCTGGTTTCAGTTCAGCAATCAAATCCAAATCATCCAACAAGGTTTGTCTGAGAGTAGTTCTAAGTCAGCTTCTCCTTCAAGGGTCTGGCAAGAACAACAAAACCTTTAACTGTGGCCAGCATAAATGCAAGAAGCCTTAGGTCAAACCTTGCCACAGTTTCTCCACAGCAATTCCACAGTCTCTCCACCACCAGGGTCTCACTCCAGTCTCCCTCAAGTCTTCCTCTCCTCAAGTCTTTCTGCTGTAAGTTGAGCTCACCTCAAGTCTTTATGTCCAGTAGGGGAAGCAGTCTTTCTCTGATCCCAGTCCCGCAGCTGGTGATTGTTAGTAAGACCATGTGTTTGCAGTTATGGCAGCTACAGACCAGAGGGAGCTAACGATAATCACTAACCTGCTCCCAACTTTTAGGCTAACACCACAGAAGTTAATGGAAATGAAAGCAAACTCCGAATGCCTATTAATTTAGCCAAAGGTCAGTTCTAAGTAAAAGTTATGGTTTTGCCTTCCCCAACTAAAAAAAAAAAAAAAAAAGTCAATTATTGTGGAAGGCCATGTGCAGTCACCATTACAAGATGGCGCTGATTTCCTGCTTCTCTTTGTTTGCCTTAATCACAAATAAGACCTTATTTGGTCACCGTGTCTTTATTGGTCAACGGCTTGATCTCACGTGGGGTTAATGGTCCAATGGAAGCATGACACATGAGACTGATGGGTGGAGTACCGAGAAGGGGATAAAAGCCGCACCTGGGAAGGGTCCAAAAAGGAACTCCATGTTTTCTCCCTAACTGTAATTAACTCCTGAGTAAACCACCATGAGAAGGAATCGCTGGTGTGTTGTGTCCTTATTCCTGCTGGACAGGCAAGGCGTGCAACAAGTGGTGGCCCGTACGGGACCCGAAGAGGTTCCGCGGTTCCAGAACTCACGGCGGACAGGGCAGCC